CGGGGGCGGGCCCGGCCGGCGCCAGCTGCAGCAGCCAGCGCGGGTCATGGCGCGGGTGCAGCCGCTCACAGACTAGCAGCGAAGCCTCCATGGCGCCGCGCAGGGATCGGTCAGAGAAGCGCCACACCAATTTGGCGAAAAAACCCTGCGCATGCGTAGCTTGGTGGCGGGGAGGAGTAACTCCGCCGGGAGGGCGGAACACCTTGCGCATGCGCGGGGGGGGCGGGGCGTGAAGTGAACTGAGTGTTTTAGGTTCACCTTGCGCGGGCGGGAGGGTGTGCGTCAGACGGCTCTGGTGTAGACATCCCGGTTGGTCTGTCTGTGACACTCGCACCTGAGCCCAGCAGCCAGGACTAGGACCCCAAAGCACAAGGGCAGGGTGTAAAGGGCATTGGCCCATGCAGTGAAGCAGGCACCCACCCTGCAGCTCCCACAGAGAAGCAATAAGGGCTCCTTCAGTAGAAGACAGGGCAGAGGAGGGAGATCTGACAGAGAAGCCCAGGCGGGGGCAGAAGAGCTTCGGAGAGAGCGAGGGAAAAGAAGTAAAAGTTCCAGCAGAGCCAAGGGAAGGAAATGGGGAGGGGGCAAGGAGAAGAGAAACAGGTCCAGATGGTATCAGCTGAGGAAGTGAAAAGCCCAGAGCAGGAAATAGGTGGGAGAGGCAGAGAGAGTGTGGTGGAAAAGAAAGGGTGTGAAGATGAGAGAGGAGGTGAGAAAGCAGAGCAGGGAGACAGATGGAAAGAGACACGAAGGATTCAAAATAGTGGGTGGAAGAGGGGAAGTAATGGAGAGAGGAAGCCTGAAGAGCAGAATAACCAAGGGGGAGATAGAAGCAGGAGGGCAAAAAGAACAAAACCCAAACCCTGACATGGTGTTCGCTGGCATTCTTTCAATGTAGCCGGTGTTCTATGGGTGACTCAAGCTAGAAACTGTTATATGAATTTCAAAGCCCAGCCAACCATTTCACTCTTGGAGTAGGTAGAAATAAAGAATCCTTTGCTTAGTGCACCAGTACACTTAAGCCAGCCCTGCATTTGGTGGTAATTTGGCTACATCTACTAGTTAATCTCCTGGTGTTAGTGATTCTGTGCCCAGTGATCCAAAAGGAAGGCTCACAATACTATGTTTCTCATCAATCAGGACAGCCTAGAAATTGACTGCCCAGTGTTAAATGGCCTACAGGTTATATGTTTGTTTGGTGTAAGGAAACAAACAATGAGAGAGATATAACTAAGGAGGCATAACATGTCTTAGTGACTTTCTCTCTCTTCAGTACTTTAACAGATTCCACCACTGTAGCGTCTGAGTATCACACTAGTTAATATATGGATCATCAAAGCCCTCCATGAAATAAGGAGATGGTGTAATCCAGAGGTGGGCAAGATGTGGTCCGCAGGCCGGATGCGGCCCACCAAGCCATTCTATCCGGCCCATGGGGCCCCTAAAAAGTTTAGAAAATGAATATGTATCTGCCCCTGGTTGCCTGTCATATGGCCCTTGATGGCTTGCCAAAACTCAGTAAGTAGCCCTCCACACAAAATAATTGCCCGCCCCTGCAGCGTAATCCCTTTTTTAATAGATGGGCAACTGAAATTTTCTCAAAGCCACAGAGAAAGTTGGTAGCCAAGTTTGGACTTGAATCCAGGTGTCCACAAAGTTGAAGGCTGGTGGCCTAATTACCAACTCATCCTCTCTCTCCACTTCAGGAATTGTTGCAATGGCCCTACCCACATTTGAGTATACGTACTGTTCTGATTTTACCCCATGATTGGACTGTGGAGGTTTTTGCTTTCCGTTGCAGAGTGGGGTGTGGTCCTCTGCCCAGGATCTTTTGAGCATATATTGACATTTCATAGATGCAGGATGTTGGCTGTTGTGGTTTCCCTGCTTTACCCCTGGCAGGTTGAGTTAGGTCTGGGTTGTGTCAGGGTCGACAACAGTCTTATATAGAATTTAGATTATGGTTTGTATGGGATGATTTAAATATGGATGATTCTGCCTCAGGCAGGGAGTTGGACTACATGACCTCTGGAGGTCCCTTCCAGCCCTGTTTCTAGATTCTAGGATTTGTTTAATGAGTTAAACTAGTCACCCCTTTCTGGATAGGGGAGACAGAATAGAGGTTAAAGATATGTGAAATATTGCAGGATAAAGGAGGAAAAAGAAGGGGTTGCAACAAAAAGGGTGCCTTTGTGTCTCCTGAAAATACAGCAATAACTCCATTTCTAAATTGTTTTAATATGGAAACTCAGGCAGAAACTGGTAAGTAGGGATCAAGACAAACCATCATATCAACTGATACAGAACACTAGGCCTGATTTACCAATGTACTGTAGCTCTTATTTGACTTCCATGCATGACTGTTTGAAAATCAAGTCTTAGCATGTTTTATATATAAAGGGTCTTTATGTGTGTATGTGCAAGTGCATGTATTATATATACACACACTTAGTCACAGACATGAGGCTATCTCTATATACATAGGCTAAGGCTTGAGATATTTAGACATAAGGATGTGTTCAGTATGAGGGCATATTGTGTCCATTCCCCACAGTCATCCCCTGGACAGCAAGGAATTGCTCTGCACTGTATTCTTCAGGATGCTGTCACTAGTGCCCACCTCCCACTTTGGGAAAGGATGCCACAGTCCAAAAGATCTCCTTGTTGGAAAAACAAGGTGAGATCCATCCAAGTTGTACCTTGCATCATTGGCTGTGTGAAGGAGCCTAGCTTTCTGTACCTCTTCTTCTTTGACAATCCCTCATAGCCAAGGATGACTGTCTTCCATGATTGTCTTATTTGTGTGTCTGAAGATGGCTGATGAAGTCTATTTGGGATCAACAGACTCTAATGCAGCTTGGACATGTGTTTCTGTGTGGGGTGGGTGGCTCTTGATTCTTGATTTGGTCCACAACACGCTGTTTCTGCCACTACCACATTTCCATCTCATGTTGTTGTCATGAGGTTTCAGAGCCCTGAGATCCCTGCAGCAGACTCTTCCTCCAGTTGCGGAGGTCCTGGGCAATTGTCTCCTACGAGTGGACATAGATGTTGGATTTTTTTAAACTGGCCTTGAGGACATCCCTGAAGTGCTTTCTCTGACCTCCTCTTGAGCCTAAGCCTTGACTGAGCTGAGAGAATAAAACTTGCTTGGGGAGTCTGAAGATGGACATCCAGATAATACAGCCAGCCCAATGAAGCTGATGTTGGATGGTCATCATCACCTCACTAGTGGTGGTGTTTGCTTGCATAAGGACACTAACGTTGGTGTGTCTCCTTTCCCACTGGATTCAGAGGATCATCCACAGGCAGCATTGATAGTACTTCAACAACTTTAGATGTCTCCTGTACCTTGCTGTGTGAGGCAGCCTAGCTTTCTGCACTGGAAATCGAGCTCGGCTCTCACACCTCCCACACCTAAATTAAACCCCGGTTTGGCGCAGGGCGGTGAAGGGGCTGTGACTGCCAGGATCCTTTCAGCTGCAAGCAAAGCCGCGTTCTCTCCTCTTCTGTACCAGGCTCCGCTCGCGGGCAGGGGGCGCCACCCACGACATTTCCAGGCACTCAGAGGGAGGGGCTGGTATGGGGGTTTTTTTCTAATTAAAAAAAATAAGAGAGCGCGCGCGCGCTGCCTCTTTAATCCGAGATTGCCTCTACCGCCCGCCTCCCCCGGGTTCAGATCAGCCTCATTTCCGGCTGCGACTCGTCTCGCCTACGTCCGGGAGTGGCTGAGCTTGCTTCTTCTCCTCCGTGAAGCTTTCGGGCCGAGAGGATCCATCCTGGCGGGAGCGGCTCGTGGGGCTCCGATCGCAGCCATGGTGAGCAGGAGCGGGCGGACACGTGCGAGCGTGGAACGTTGAGACACCGCGTTCCAGAGGCCGAACGCGAGCGCCGGGCCCCGCTGCCCCGCCAGGCCGCCGGCCCGAGGGGGGCGGGAAGGGAGGAGCGGATCCACGCAGCTCCGGGCCGGTGGGATCGGAGCTGGGCCGGCGGGCGGACACGAGGCAGGCCGCCACGTGCGTGGGTAAACAGGCCCCTAAAGCCCCACGTGGCTCCTCTGTCCCTCTGCCTCCGCATCGCGCTTCCCGCGTGTCTGTCGCGCGCCTACTGAGCCTTTCTCCTCTTGCAGCTTGATCTCTCCGACCCCTAAGCGCTCTCTGTTCTGGTGCCTGCATGCAGTGCCCTCACTCTCCTGCTAAGGGGGATTCTTGTTGGGTTTCCTCCCGGTGTAGGAGAGGTGAGGGGGAGTAACTACTGGTTTACTAGCTAAGCCAGTAATTCAAAATTTTTCAACTCCGTGCAGCTGGACAGACTGGAGGCAGCCCTTGGAAAATGCCAGCTCTTGGCTTTCACTCTGAACTTTGACTCCAGGAGCATAACAGCAGTTTTTCTTTTGCAAAGAGCTGGGTTGGTGGTTGTAGTCCTGTTGGTCTACGGACATAGACAAGGTTCTTTGGGTAAATCTGAAGGGACCTTGCATTTGAAATCTCTGGGCTTATGTGATGAATTGTGTTTGCAGACTTAATAGACTGTGTAGCAAGCACCCCATGGCATCCTTGAAAGGTTCACTGGTCGCCCCAGGGTGCTGTGGCACCTTGGTTGAGAATTGCTGCCCAAGAGCCTTTCTCGTGTCTGTTGGCATAGAGCAGAGGTGGCCAAGCCCATGGATCAAAGTCATGTGCAGCTCCTGAAGAAACTCTTTAATGATAAATGGCTACTTGAGCCGGAACGCTGTGCCAAGGTCAGGGGCTTGGGAGCACACACATTCTGAAAGTTTTGTCAAGATTTTTGGTGTATGGCTAAAAGAGTTGGGAAGTTTGGCCACCCCTGGTGTGCAGGAATACAGGGCTAGCAGTACATGGAGGCTCTATTCCCTGGGCTGGTGCTGACTAGGAATGATAACAGTGCAAGAAGCTGACAACTTTTTTTTCCTGCTTCCTTGCTTATGAAAGAGAGCATGCAAGGAAACTTGTAGCAACATCTGTTTTGTATTGTGCTTTTGGGGTATAGCTCTCAGGGCCTAGGCCTGACATGGCCAAGATCATCTGGTGGCAGGAGACCAGGACCTCTGATGCCCTAGTCCAGTGCTTCATAAATTGGGTTGTTTATCTTGCATACCTATCACTGAAGTACATCTAGGGTGGAACTGGTATGCAATATGGCACAATATTGTATAGGGGGAAATTTTGATCAAGGATCCAAGGGAAAACCATTTTTACAGGTAAATGGTGGGATCCCCAGTGTCAGTGCCAAACACAGGACCACAGTAGTGTGTTTCATCCAGAGGAGCCATGAACAGACATCCTAAAAAAAAAAAAGGCTCACTTGATCCTGGCAGGACTTGAACCTCTGGTTCTGAGTTCAGATATTAGTATTCCAAGCAAAGCTTCCCTTTGTCCTCTTCTGTAACTTTGATTTCCTTTCTCTAGAGTGAGGCAGAAGTGAACCCCAAAGCTTACCCTCTGGCTGATGCACAGCTCACCAAGACACTGCTGGATCTTGTACAGCAGTCTTGCAACTACAAACAGCTACGCAAAGGTGCCAATGAAGGTAAAGTCTGACCTTTAGGAAACTTACTACCACTGCTAACATTAACAAAAAAGGGTTTACTAAACTAGGAGTTGTGGGTGGTGGTTGTCTTCTACCTATGGATTTTGCTTTAGATGTTTGGTAATTCCCCCTACTCCTGGATCTCAATATATATCTTCTCCATTTGTGCAATGAGAAGGTTTCCCTTTTGATTAAATGGTCTAATGGAAATAAAACTAACCTGAGAGAAATTGTATGGCTTCTCCGTGCTCCTCTGATAGCTGGAGAAAAGTGTATTCTTGGTATATAGTAGAATCCAGATACCTGGCAGGGTAAGATTTCTAAACCCCTTGTGAAGATGAGGGCTTGCAAGCTATCTAGGAGCATGTATAGCTGCAGTATACACTACGCACAGCTGTTGAAGTGCTTCATCAGCTTGCTACAGCTTTTACATTGCAGAATGCTGTTTCTCTAATTAGTTGCATGCAACTGCAGTGATGCTGTGCTGAATAGAGGAACAGCACATTTTCATGTAAAAGGTATAGCAAACAATTTATGGCTCACTCTTAGTTTAGCAACTAGCTGCTAGCTAAGTGGGTTACAAACCACATTACAGCATCAGATGAAGTATGTTGTTGCCTAGGAAAATTCACCCCTGTCTGAATCAGTTGGTCTCTTCAGGCAGTGATTCTTGACCCCTTGAGAGACCCCTTAGAAAATGCCAGTTCCTCATTTTCACTCTTATTTTTCTGTAATAAAAAACAAGAAAACAGAGTAGTTCTTTTGCTGCAAAGAAATCAGACCACAGTCAGTCAGATTGTTTTTGACACTATAGATTGCTTTTTGAAATCTGGGTTTATCTTGTGAATTATGTTTAGGTGTTTACATGCCTGCTGATATCTTGCAGCAGCCTTAAAAGAATCTCACAGAACCCCCCTAGTGCCACAGCAGCTTGGTTGAGAATCGCTGCCTTGAGGTGCCACACTGCCCTATCTTCTGCCTACCACTTCCCCAGACCACCAAAAAAAGAATGATCTGGCTTCTAAATATGGGGGGCGGGGGGGTGGGCTAGAAGGTGACCAGCTGGCTTATCAACATTGCATTCAAAGACTTTTCTATATTGTCCATTGCACCAATGCATAAAAAATAATAGTGCTTAGGAAGAAGGATCCAGATTAATTGACTTCTGTGTCCTGTTTCTAAAGAAGTGGGGAATGAAAAGGATTGTTGAACTGGCCTTATCAAGTTCTGCACCTGCTCCCTCCCTTTCATTTCAAGCCTGATGCCTAGAATATCTCCTTCCCAGATTTGTCTAATGTGTATGATTTTATTTTTGACATGCCACTGCTTTCTTGAGAGCTTCACATCCTAGCAGAGTCGCTGTTTATGCAAGTTTCCACTCTTGTCAACCCTTGTGCTAATGTGATCCCTTGAAAGGACTGTGTTTACTCCTCTTCTTTCTCACTTTGCAGCTACTAAGACACTGAACAGAGGAATAGCAGAATTCATCGTGATGGCTGCAGACGCTGAGCCCTTGGAGATCATCCTACATCTGCCACTTCTTTGTGAGGACAAGAATGTGCCCTATGTTTTTGTGCGCTCCAAGCAGGCCTTGGGGCGGGCATGCGGTGTCTCCCGGCCTGTCATTGCCTGCTCAATTACTATCAAGGAAGGGTCACAACTGAAACCTCAGATTCAGTCTGTCCAGCAAGCCATTGAGAGACTGCTGGTCTAGAAACCAGTAGGTCCAGTCTGTACTTAGCAAAATAAAATTGGAGTGAGGGAATTTAATGTTTTATTTTTAGTTGACAAGACAGTGGCTTGGTTTCAAATGTTTCATTTCAAAATGCCAGGTATTTGTTTTACAGTGGCTTGATTCTATTTTTGTTTCAATTCTTCACTATAGCCAACCTGGATTTTCTCTCCCCTTCCTTCTTCCTGCCTTCCAAATACAAGTCACGCTTGGTAAAGTACTTCTCAGAACTCTATTGTATAACAATTGTTCTTGTCCAATGTGAAAAATAACTTATCGCCCCCTGCAGCCTCACTAACTGATTCCCCCATTACAGTGCTGTTTTTTTGCAAGATATTCTGCTAGAATCTCAGCTTCTACTAGACTGTGCTAAACCATGCTAAATGGTTTTGTCTGATGAGGAAAATGAAAGCGAATCCTTGCTGTAATTCATTTTCAGGTTACTGGAATTGCTGGTTAAATTTAATTTCAAATAATAGGAGAGTAAGCGTGGCTACTGTGTAGCAGAAAACACTGGTGTTTGCTGTTGAAATAGGACAAGACAGCTGTCAGTGGTGAGGGGAGGAGAAATCCCACTACAATGCAAAGGGTGACAGCTCTAACCTCGCTCTTTTTTTTTTTTTTTTTTTTTTTTAATAAATTTCACAACTAGAGCATATAACTGTGTCAAACTGTTTGGTAAAAGCATGTGGCTCACTGAAGTGTTCCTGGTCACTAGTGGACTGATCAGATCACCCCATAACTACTGCTTTACATTGCAGTGCAGCAAGGGAGGTCTAACCGCCAACACTAGTAAGCTCTCTCTGCTTGAAGCATGCAATGGTCTGCAAGCTGTTAGATCACTAGGATGATTTGACCAAAAATCTAAAGGAAGAGGAAAATAATCCTGGTAGAGAGCAACTTGTCAGGGTCCACATATGCTGTATCTAGTTGTCTTTGAGCAGGAGCCAAACTAAGGATTTGGCTACTGTGGGTAATGAGATACTTGCCTTGGCAAGCAAGGCAGTAAGACATGGTGACTTAGCTTTCAGATGCCGAAATAGACACAGGAACAGGTTTACTTTCCTGTCACTGTAGCTGGGTGGTTCTGAACCTTTTTTAGATTCAAGACCTCTTCAGAAAATGCCAGCTCTGAGCTTTCACTTGTTTGTTGACAATGGAAAAGTAATAGAGTAATTCTCTTGTTGCAAAGAACTCAAGACCATAATGGGTCAGAACGTTTGTGATGGTATGGATTTGTTTGATATGAGTTTACTTGCAAATTGTGTGTAGGTGCATTAAGAGTGCTAATATTATATGGCACTCTTAAAAGGATTTTGCACACCCTGATTGAGAATTGGTGCTTTAGGTGAAGTGAGCCTTGCAATAAAAGGTCACTACAGTTCTTTTAAAACCTTCTCTATGCCTGCTCCCCAGTTAAGAGTTCTTTCTCTCAAGCTGAAGTGTGTTGCAGCCATGTTTTTCTGAACCCTCATAGAAAAATGTGGCTGGAAAGAACCTATGGAAGTCATCTCATCCAACCCACTTCATCATGTGATTAAGTGAGCTTCAACCCATGAAATCTTGTGTTATATATAATCTACTTTGGTCTATAAAGTGCAAATCTACCCTGCCTTGTGCTTGACTACAGACTAACATGACTAAGTCTGTCTACTAAAACTACACACAATCATTCCTGTCACAGCCACAAGGCATAGCACCCTTACCTGCCACTGGTAAAGCAGGGGGACAATGGCAGTCAGTGTCAGGTGGCTATTAGGGTTGTTCAAACACATTTGAGAGATCCAAGAAAAAGGTCCTGCCCCACCACTACAGAGGAAAGGAAAAAAACAACAAAAACTGCAATCCACACCAGTCTGACTGTGGGGTAAAATTCCTTTGTGGCAATTGGTCTGACCCTGAGCAGAGGGGAAAGATCCTCTAGCCAGAAACAACCTGGTTTTAGGACCACTAGCATACCTCAGTCAAAATCCCCAGCCTTGGTTACAACCAACACCCTGTGCTTCTGAGGAAAATGGAAATACTCCTCCCCCTCAAAACCTGTAGCAATAAGGGAAAGAAATTCTTTCCCAGGCTTGTGTGCCAATCAGCAAAGCCCAGAAGCACAGGAAATACCCACAATATATTATAGGCCTAACTATTCTTAGATTGTCCCTGACCAATGTATACCCAACTTCTTGACAAAAAGATTCTACAACCTCCGTAGGGAGTTTAATCTGCTACCTCACTCCTGACAGCGATGTTTTTCCTGATATCCAATCTGAACCTACTTTGCATTGGTCCGTGTCCTGCTCTGTAGCAAGAGAGAAAAGGTGTTCTTTTTTTATGGCAGGCCTTTAGATATTTGAAGACTGTCGTCAAGTCCCCCTCTTGAGTGCCTTTTCTGCAAGCTGCGTTTGCCTATTTCCTTCAACTTGTATGGCTCGCTTTGCAAATCCTTTATCACTTTTGTCGCCTGCTTCAGGACTCACTAACCTCTCTGTGCCTTTTTAAATGTGGAACCCAAAACAAAACACACTACTTTAGATAAGGCTTAGCCATCATGCAGAGGTGGATCCAGGGAGGGTACACCAGTGCAGTTGTAGCCCCTCCCTCTCCCCCTTTGATTCCTGCTCTGCCCAAAGTTTAAAACCAACTGCCTGGCAGCAGCATTTCTGTTCAGGCAACAGTGAGCTTGAATTCATGGCTCATTAAAATCTGATTCCTTCTACACTCTTCATTCCAAAGGTGTTAATGACCTTTTAGTCATTTTAGTAGTCTTGGTGTTTCACTAATCAAGCTAGCCTTTCTTTTGTAATTCTACAGTCTGCGGGCTGCTCCTGGTAATGTAGTTCCTATTCCACAGCCTTGCAAACTGGTTTTAACTTATTCCAATGAAGGTTGTTGTTTTTTGCTTTGATATTAAACTGAATAATGCAGCCCTAGGCCACTAACAAATTAGTAAAGCTTCTAGTTTTTTTTTTTTACCTGAAGAAAAATATATGTTCTGTTATATGGGATGATGGACCACATTATCTGCGCACACCTTTTCAAAATCTTAGATCTGCCTATGTCACTGTAGAGTAAAAAGGCACTATCACCTCCAGTGTCTTGCACCTAATGCTCCTCTTGATCCTGCATTAGTCTTTTGTGTAGCTGCATCACACTGCAGACTCATATTAAGGCTGTGATCCACCAAGACTCCTAGATCCTTCTTTGCAGTGCTGTCATCCAGAGAGATGTCACCCATTTTGTATTTGTTTTTTTTTATTATTCCCAAGATGTAGCACCTTGCATCTGTCAGCACTGAACTTCAGTCTGTTAGCTCCTATTAAATTACATTAAGCAATTTTTGCTTTTACTTCAGTGACCTTCTTATTTTCAACAAGATAGCTAACAATAGCATGGCATTCATCCTTATGACTGGCAGCAAGGAGTACTGTAATAACTGTAGGCCTCAAGACTAGATCTTTTATGACAGCAAGGGCCAACCTTTTTGCAGGCATGGCAAAAAATATAGTTTCATAGTTGGTAGGGTTGGAAGGGACCTGAGCAGATCATCAAGTCCGACCCCCTGCCATAGGCAGGAAAGGATGCTGGGGTCAAATGACTCCGGCTAGGTGATTATCTGGCTTCTTTTTGAAGACTTCCCGATGTCTAGCCTGAACCTACTCTCAGTCAACTTGTGGCCGTTATTGCTAGTTACTCCTGGTGGTGCTCGGGGGAACGGGTCTCTCCTGTTCCCCACTGGTCTGCCTTGGTAAGTTTATAAATGGCCACCAGATCCCCTCTCAGCCTTATCTCGTGGAGGCTGAACAGGTTCAGGTTCCATAGCCTGTCTTCGTAGGGCCTGCCCTGCTGCCTCCTGATCATGTGAGTGGCCCTCCTCTGGACCCTCTCAATGCTGTCCACATCTCTCCTGAAGTGTGGGACCCAGAACTGGACACAGTACTCCAACTGTGGCCTGACCAATGTTGCATAGAGGGGGAGGATCACCTCCTTGGACCTGCTCATGATGCATCTGTGGATGCATGACAAGGTGTGCTTAGCCTTACTGACCGTGTCCCCACATTGGCGGCCCGTGTTCATCTTGGAATCAGTAATGACACCAAGATCCTTTTCTGCCTCTGTGCTGACTAGAAGGGAATTCCCCAGCCTGTAGGTATGCTGCTGGTTCTTCCTCCCCAGGTGCAGTACCTTGCACTTGTCAGTATTGAATCCCATCCTATTCTCATTTGCCAACCCCTGTAACTTGTCCAGATCTAGTTGTAGCGTGTCACTCCCTTCTATCATGCCCACTTCTCCCCACTTCTTAGTGTCATCTGCGAATTTGAACAAGGTGCTTTTCACCCTCTTGTCCAAGTCACTGATGAAGATGTTGAACAGTGCGGGTCCGAGGACTGAGCCCTGGGGGACCCCACCACCCACATCCCTCCAGGTCAAAAATGATCCATCTACCACCACTCTCTGGGTGTGGCCCTCCAGCCAATGTGCTACCCATCTGACTCTGTAGGCATTGACACCACAGTCGCCTAATTTTTTAATGGGAATAGGGTGAGAGACAGTGCCAAAGGCCTTCCTAAAGTCCAGAAACCCTACGTCCACCGTGACACCTGCATCTAAGGATTTTGTGACCTGGTCATAGAAGGCCACCAAGTTGGTCTGACAGGACCTGCCTCTAATGAACCCATGTTGGTTGCCCCTCAGCATAATCTCCCCTGCTGGTCCCTCGCAGATGTGCTCCTGGATAATTTTCTCAAAGAGCTTCCCCAGGACCAAGGTAAGACTAACGGGCCTGTAGTTTCCTGGGTCCTCCTTCCTCCCTTTTTTGAAGAGACCACCCTCCTCAAGTCCCACTCTGTCAGCCCTGGTGCTGTATTGCCTATCTTCTCCCTGATATGCCACCTGACAAGAGGCTGCTCTCGCAACTTGTGGCACATGTACCAAAGGTTAGCCACTCCTTTTAGATGCTCCAAAACTTTAAGGTAAAGTAAAGGTTTCGTTGCTGTTGTTGCATGCTTTTCCTGAAATGCATTCAGCTATAATCAAGCCAC